ACTTCAAACCCCTATTGTTGACACCTCTACCGTTGAGACATCTATTGGTAACTCCACTTTTATGTTTGACTAGTATACAGTACCAACTGGCACAGTTGCATTACCAGCACTGCCGGGCATGATCTCTCAAAAAGTTACGGTACAGTTATTGAATGGTCGTAACTTCGCTGAGTGGTCTCGCTCATTCCAGCTTTTCTTAGGCCATGTAGGGAAGCTTGGTTGGCTGACGGGATCTCATCCAAAATCAGCTGATGGCAACCTTGGATATTCTACGTGGTTCTCTAAGAACTGCGTCATTCTTGAATTGTTATTTGGCTCGATGGAGCCATCTATTTACAGGATTCACCAGTTTCATAACTTTGTTCAGAAGTTATGGAACACATTATCAGAGATGTATTCCCAGTCAGGATGGGGAGTTTGTGTTTATGAGCTTTTTCAGGAGCTCTCATATGTTCGGCAGGGAGATATGACCATTCAGGATTATTATGGCTATTTGACCCAGTGCTGGCTTGAGTATGAGACTCTACGTCCTCTTGCTGCTATTCCGAGGATAGAGCCCGAGTGAGCAGCATTCTTGCATACTCGAGAGCAGGAGGATAGAATTCACAAGTTCCCTATGGGGCTTCATGATAAGTTTGAGGGACCTCGTTCCCAGATCTTGTCGATGTTGACGCTTCCTTCTCTTTATGAGGTGTATGAGATGATTGAGCAGAGCATGAACGCCGCATCCGTATTACATTACTTCCAGTTGCGACCTTGACTCCTTCGGCTGATCATATGACCCTCATAGCTGCTGTAGGGTCTCGTTCAGGATCTTCAGTTAGGGGTAGGAAGCACTCGGATTAGCGCTGTCAAGGTGCCCCAGATCAGCGCAGACAGGGGGATTCTCGTCAGTGTGATTATTGTGGCCGACCAGGACATCTCAGGGCTACTTGCTGGAAGCTCCATCCAGAGCTTAAGTTGTCTCCTCACGGCCGTACTGCTGCCATTACTGAGATACCACCACCACCACCTACTGCTACTCCTACTACTGCTCCTCCTTGGCAGAATGATATAGATGATATCACTTCCCGATTGGATATACTTATGTCCGCTCTGACTTCTCAGAGTCCGACTACTACTGCAGCCACCACTATAGGTATACCTTGTGTCTTTCATGCTTGTGTCAATTCGTCTCTCCTTTGGATGCTAGACTCGGGTACGAATGGTCACATGATAAGTGAAGCCCATCACTTTACCACTTTTGACGAGCAGTTACATACACAGATTTAGTTAGCAGATGGGACACATGCCCCTATTGTTAGTAAGGGTACAATCCACCTCCCTGATGGCTTTACATTACGTTTGATTTTTCATGCGCCAAAGCTGGCCATGAATCTATTATCTGTACATCAGTTAGCCAGAAATTTTTACTGTGCGGTTGTATTCTTATCTGATTCGTATTATTTGCAGGACCTGAGTACCAAAAAGATTATTATCAAGGGATATGAGAGAGATGGATTATATTATCTGGGCGATCCGCCTCTAGTTTCATCAGTTCCTCCACCTATATCACCTGCACCTACTTTGTCTTTATCTGTTCCTAGCTTACATGCTAGTATTTTACCTAATAATTGTCGTTATGATTTTTTGTCACAAACTGTTCAGTTGTGGCATGACCGTTTTGGACATACAAATTTTAAATATTTATGTATGTTGTTTCCTAATTTGAGCAATGCTTGTGTTGGTAGTAAACTTGACTGTGTTATATGTTCCCTATCGAAACATGTTAGGACCAGTTATATTCTTCGCATGCACCAGTCACCCAAGCCATTTGACCTAATACACTCTGATATTTAGGGACCTTCTCCTGTTACTGCTTTGTCAGGTGCCTGATACTATATGACATTTATAGATGACCATACCCATTGTACTTGGATCTACCTTTTGCATAAGAAGTCCGATGTACTCCCTATAATCACTCAGTTTCTACAAATGATTAAAACACAATTCAATGTCATTGTTCGTGCTCTTTGTTCGGATAATGCCAAAGAATATATGTTTGATGCCTTAGTGTCTCACCTTTCTTCTCAGGATATCCTTCAGCAACTCACTTGTCCATATACTCCTGAGTAAAATAACGTTGCTGAAAGGAAAAATAGGAATCTGATAGGGATGATACGTTGTATGCTTAGAGGCATGGGGGTGCCAAAATCTTATTGGCATTTTGCTGTTTTGACTTCTACCTTTCTGTGCAATCGTACGTAGAGTCGTGTTCTTCAGCATAGGGCTCCCTTACAGGTTTTATTTCCTGAGCGAACACTTTTTCCAATCCACCCTCATGTTTTTGGATGCACATGTTTTGTTCAGTATCAGTCTCTTACTCGTCATAAGCTTGATGATAAAGCAATTCGTTGTGTCTTTGTAGGCTATTGTCATCAGTCTAAGGGGTATTGGTGTTATGATCCTGTTAGGCGTCGTATGTATCACAGACTGGATGTTACCTTTCTTGAGCATATTCCTTATTTTTCTTCTAGTCCTGTGTCTGCCACTTCAGTTGATGATACTTCCTTTGATTTTCCATTACCCCTGGAGCCAGAGCCATTGGTTACTATCACTACAAAATTATCGACCTCTCCTCCTCCAGAGCCACTCATTCCTGGTACAGAGTCACTAGTCTCTCTTCCTTTTCAGGTTTATGTTCGTCGCCCTCCCTCTCATTCCCCTGCTAATGTCTCCTCTACCTCAGGCGATGTAGGTAATACTTCTCAGTTTGTTGAGTATATTGATGCACCTGTTATTAGTACTGATGAGATTGCAGGTACTGAGCCAGTTGTTTTACCTGATGAGACATTGTCAGTGGAGGATAATGATTTAGGGCGTCGTTATACGCGGCGTTATCGTCGTTCAGTTGTTCGTTGTGGTTGGACTGCTAAGATTTTATACTTGATCTCTGCTTATGTTTCTTATGGTGATCTATCTCCTATATTTCGAGCTTATAGTATAGCCTTATCAGATACGTCGATTCCTCGCTCTGTCACAGAGGCTATGCAGGAGCAACAGTGGGCTCTTGCCATGCAGACAGGGATGGACGCTCTTCAGCGTAATCATACATGGAATCTTGTCTCTTTACCTTCAGGGGTGAAGCCTGTTGGCTGTCGCTAGGTTTACACCCTGAAGTTTCTTGCAGATGGTACTATTGATCGTCAGAAGACTAGGCTTGTGGCGAAAGGCTTTACTCAAGTACCAGGTCATGATTTTGGTGCTACTTTGCCCCCGTGGCAAAATTGACTACTGTTCGACTAATTATTTCTCTGGCTGCGGAGTACTTGGCCTCTTCATCAGTTGGATGTAAAGAATGTATTTCTTCACAGTGATCTGAACGAGATTATTTTATATGGATGCACCACCGGGCTTTCGTGCTGAGGGGGAGTATGTTGGAAAGGTATGTCGACTGCGTAAGTCTCTTTATGGACTGAAACATGCGCCACGAGCTTCATTCTCTCGCTTTAGTGATGTAGTTGTACGTTTAGGGTTCACCAGATGTCATTCTGATCATACCTGCTTCATTCGACGAAATACTTCTGGACAGTGTGTCATCCTTTTGGTATAGGTTGATGATATTATTATTACTGAAGATTATGTTTCTCAGACTGCGCAGGTCAAGGTAGACCTTGAAAAGGCTTTCGATGTGAAGGACCTTGAATTTTTGCGATACTTTCTTGGGATTGAGGTTGCCCGTAGTAGCAGAGGTATTATTTTTTCTCAGAGAAAGTATGTTCTGGATCTTTTCTCAGACACTGGAATGTTGGGGTGCAACCCGGCATCATCACCCATGATTCCAAACCTGAAGCTTATTGCTGAAGGTGAGGAGTTAAGAGATCCGACTGTCTATTAGAGGTTGGTAGGTAGACTTATCTATCTAGCCAACACTAGGCTAGACATTTCATTCGCTATTAGCCGAGTTAGTCAATTCATGCACAGACCATGTCAGTCTCATCTTAATACAGTTTATCATATTCTTTGGTACCTTAAGTCTTGTCTTGGACTTGGGTTGTTCTATACATCAGGATCTCAGATTGGTTCTCTAGCCTGTTATTCAGATTCAGATTATGGGAGAGCATATAACGGTCGATCTACTACAGGTTTCTATGCTTTTCAAGGGACTTATCTTATCTCTTGGAAAAGCAAGAAGTAATCAATTGTCTCTCGCTCGTCAGCAGAGGCAGAGTATCGGGCACTGGCACTTAGCACTTGGCACATGTGAGATTATCTAGTTACGATCGATTCTTGGCAAATTGGAATTTCCAGTGACTTCTTCATCTACATTATATTATAATAATCGATCTGCTATTCGGCTTGCTTCTGACTCTGTATTACACGAGAAGACGAAGCATGTAGAGATCGATATTCACTTTTTTTGGGAGAAGGTTATCAGTGGTATTGTCACTCCATCATTTGTGAGGACCAGTGATCAGGTTACAAATGTTTTTACCAAACCTGTAACTCTATCCATTTTTCGGGACTCTGTTGTCAAGCTTGGCTTAGTTGACATTTTTGCGCCTAGCTTGAGGGAGAGTGTTGGAGATATAGCAGCAACCTAATTTATTAGGACTTATTAAGTTTTCTCTTTTTACCTTTTTATCCTTATTGTAACTTTCATTGGCTATATATATGAGACTCTACACTTAATTTGTATCCCTTTTTCACTCACAATTATTCCAAGTTAACCCAAATTACAATTAGCCTTTCCCATAGTTAAACTTAAGACTGAATAAATTTTCTCTTTTAAGGTTTTCATTAATGAATCCCGGTTAATGACTGCCAAACTCGATGGGTAAGATTTCTTCATCTTCCCCAAAAAAAGATTGCTTAACCTTGGACAACCCCCGACACTTGGCTAGATCAGTTGTATAATTGGTTTTCAAACATCAATGTTAACTCTACCTTCCATAATAATAGGTGCTAACGCTAGTAAATGGCTACTCACATGCTGTTATGTGACTAGGACAACCCCTATCCTATAAATAGTCAAACAACCAAGAGCTTAATACTTTGGGGGGGATCAGTACAGTTTCCAGTGTCACAGACCCATTTTGTTGGAGACATCGTGTAGAAGAATCCAATATAAAAGCTGAATGTTGACATAAGAATAAGAGAGAGTCACTGAGTCTTGCCTGCAGGAACAACAGATCATTAGAGACCACGGCAGCACTCAAATGCGCATGCATCCTTTCAAGTGCATCCAACACCATTGAGAGCTGATTATCTTTGTATTCTGTAATAATCTGGCAATGAAGAAATTCATGTCAATAAGAACTATGGTTAGGTACGAGAAATTAAGTGAAAAACAAACAGAAAAAGACATTCCCTCTCACGCGAACCATTTTCAGTGTCTCCTCTTGTTTACCTGGAATGGTCCAAAAATCTCTCTTGTTACAAGCTCATAATTGTTATCCTTTAACATCTCTTCAAGCGGAACAAAAACAGCAGTGGGTTTTATTGCACCATATATCTGAGGAATAGAATGGTTCTCTAAAGCTTCACCACCAAAAAGTAGTTTTGATCCTGGTATCTGAAGCAACTTATTCATATGCTCTAGCATTGCCTCTGTAGTAAACTGAAACAAGATGATGAGGAAAATCCAAATCAAGGCATGGTGATCAAAGTAAAACTCAGAAACAAAATGGGTGGCGACCTAAAAATAATTTAAAACTTATGGCATCAAGCCACACATAATTAAATGCAAATGGGTATGGGGATGATAATATATGACCCAAGAGCCATGGTATTCCATGGCTCACGTCTGTCCGGTGAACATTTTCTAGCCACTGGCATTCCATTCTTGAAATCTCAAAGCTAATAAATACTGTCAATGTAGACCTCCCTCTGTCCCAATTTTAGAGTCCCAGTTTCCTTTTTAGGTGTCCCAAAATAATGTCAAATTGGAATACTCAATACACATTATTTTGTAACTTTCAAGACTCAAAATAAGTGACAGGAGTAGCTATTTGCAAAGGAGTTACTGCTAGTAGCTCCAAACTGCATTCATAATAACAAATCAGATAATGTAAATACACTGCTTTACGCCACTACCAACCCAGACTATTTACTCAAGCTTCTTTGAATCAGTTAAGTTCATCTGAATTGCATGGTGTTAAATCCACACTGATACAAAGAATAACATCAGAAGGCAACCATGCAAAATCATGATGTCACTTGGAGGACTTCCCAAAAACATTTGATATCATAATAGATCATGGATGACGATCATGATGATCAATGACAATACTCCATTGAACTCAAATTGAACACTTGATCAATTGACAGTGACACATGCACTGACAAGCATGGGAAAGGGGCTTTGAATCTGAATACAGTCACTTTGTGCAAATCGTTGGGCCTAGATCCAATTCACCCCACCAAGTACCCCTCAATTAATAACGACTGACTCAACATAGTGTCCTTATAGAAAATCAATCAAACTTTATGGATAAAACTTTAGTATATACATATATTTATGTATTTTTATATGGTTAGCCATGTCGACCAAGGAGGCTGATCGCTGGCCAAAACCAGCCATTGCTCCAGATTAAAAGGCCTTGGAGCCAAAGCAGCATTTGCCCTGATGAGTCACAGTCAAATGATATGAATTCAACTTATTACAGCGTCACTTATATTTAATAAGATGTGAACAAACTCAGTTGTTTCCATTCCATGTCCTTAGAAAACGGTTCAAGAGATAACTCAGATGCTAATGTCATTACAACAAAAAAAAAAGTTCTCAAATTCTGTAACCATCTCCCTTGAGCAATTTAGAAAAGGTAATTTACCATAAGATAGATAAGGTACACTTACTGTGAGGACAGGGCCAATAGTCAAGTCTTCTAGCTTCCTCCTTGCAGCAAGATTTTTGAGTTGACTAATGATCGAACTTGCACCCCAGTTCTGCATAAGGGCTCCAAATTATTATTTTCTGGAAAGACATGACTACATACGAGGAAGCACGGATACAAAATTTTGGCCAAAGTGTCAGTGTAAGACATATCTGAGACACAGACACACTCAGACACGCGAAAATGAGTGTTTTATTTTTTTATTGTGATATTTTTTTGGACACGTGGGAGATACACGATCAACATGCTTGGGACACGCAAGAGGATACCTTTTGAGCTTTTTTTCAAATTTTTGAACACTGGTCAAGTAACTCAATAAATAAGAAACCTATTTGTGTAATTTTAAAGATATATGGGTCAAAGTTAAAACATTAAAAGAGTTATAATTACTACATGAAATTGGACATCGATATAAGTATTATTTCAAATAATATTTGATGAAAATAGGATTGTACGAAATTTGGTCTCTTTAAAATTGAACGAAAATTAGGATTACAAAGTGAGATACTTTTTAAAATGAAAATTACAGTAGTCACTAATTGTTGGATCTTGGATGTATGTGATGAAGGTGTATCGCTCTATCTATATTGTGTTTTATTCGATGATATCGAGATATGAATTGATAAAATTAAGGAAATGATGGATTAAATGATTGTCAATAAATAATATTTATTTTATGATCATATATATAAATGAATAAATACATCGGTACTCTTTTCTCGATCATATGTGGTATTCGCCAATATCTTGGTCATCTGACCAAGAAGCATCATGTTGGCTTTGAAGCAGCTGCATGGTACCGGCATTTTACAGACGTGGTTCGGTTATTTCCATTTGTCTTTATCTATTGGTGGGGAGGTATATGATGGAACGAATCAATGGATTGAAGAATGAAAGCTCAAAGGCAAAGAGAACCGGGCTTTTCCAAAGAATTACTGCAGCTTTCCCACTCCCTTTGATTATCATATACAAAAAAGTCTCTTCCACTTTCTTATCCGATCTCTCTATATTTTGGCACATAAATGAAGGGATCGAAGAGATTAAGGCAGATCATGTTCACCAAGAAATGACCCGAAATTGGATCTTGGTCTATTTGAGATTGTTTCTTATAATCGTAATCAAAGATGTTTTCTTATCTCTCGTTTCTTTTCTAAAAAAATCGAAGAATCTAATGATGGATCAAACTTGAACTCAGGGTGACTTGACAGCAACCCCCCCCCCCCCGGGGTGGGGCGCGACAAAGTGGTTGGTGGATCCAATTCTTCTACTTTTCTTTCCTATTTGTGGAACATGATCGAATGAACAGTCACAGGAAAAAATATTCAGCCTGCTGCTGTAACCTTTAAAAACAAGCATTCTAAATGTACTTTAAAAAAGCATATGTCAAAATGAAGTAGCTAACCTCATGCATGAATAGAATTGACTGCGCTGAGCACTTTTGACCACTACATGCATACACATCTTGATCACATACCCAAGCAATATAGTCAACCTGTTCTTTAGAAACAATGCCCTTTTTAGAAACCAGAAATCCATGCACAGAAAATTTCAAAAAATATATATATATATACAGTTAAGAACGGTAATCATAAACCTCATTGACATCGGGCCCAAGGATCTTCCAATCGAATCCGGCATCTTCTAATTTGATTCTACCCTTCAAGTCAACAGCCAACTTATCTGCAACTCTTGAGCTACCAGTAAAAAGAGTCATTCGTGGATTTGCCTGTTAACATGATTCCAATTGGAAATGGTTTAAAATAGAGAACTATACTATCTGCAGGGAAAAACGTTACTTCTAGCATGCACACATCCCTGCTCTCTGCCCCACAAACGATAGATATATTTTAAAGTCCATCATATTAAGGTTACTTTTTTGTCCCCTTAAGAATTTCTAGATTAGAACCTTAAAATGACTAATTTTGTAATAAAATACAGATATTTTTAGTGTTGTGCCTTTAAATACCTATTTGTTGGAATATTTTTTATTTATCAAAACTATATTAAGGCTATGTATTCCAATAGTGAATAGTACTGGGCAATTTTCTGGCTGGTTGTTCCATACATGTTTAGGACAATGCACTCCGAACCATTGACTGAGTGACAGGAACACATTTAAGCTGATGGTTCTCATTGCTTCGCATATAGATGCAGATTCAATCACTTTCACACCTGAAAATGCATGCTGAGACCTGAGAGACTATTTGTACTCTTTAGTGTGTCTTATGCACGTGTGTTGCCCAGGCCTACATCCTTTGGTCCTAAATCACAATCACTGCATATGTTTGGAAAACAGGATAAAGGATCTGAAGCTCTTCAGCATTTGGGACCCCACACCCAAACCCAACCCCAACCCCAACCCCCAAAAAAACTACCAAAACAGAAAGAAAAAAAAAAGTATAATCAGCTCTTGAACATCGGATAATGGAATGAAAAGAGGTAAAAATTGTAATTCTTCACATAGCAAAACTGTAATCAGAAACTGGCCTCCAGCAATAGCTTGTTCATTATCTTTCCATCGGAGTTGATGAAGTCAACATCTTCGACAGGTAACCCACAATCATGAAGCAATCGAAGCATTTGTTCCATAACAATGCATACCTAAGAAACATTCTTAGTCAGTTTATCGTGGTTACAAAGAGAAAATAATGAAGAGAAATATGACAAGAAAAAAAAATGGATTTTCTTAGAAGGGGCACAAAAGGTGGGATTCCTAGGTTAGATAAAACACACAAAATTGAGCTCTATGTGCGTAGTCATTTCCGAACAATTTAGCAAAACAGCAGGCAGAACCCCAAATTTCACACTACTAGGTCATATTACTTCATTGGTTTACCATTGTTGCAAGCAGTTTCAAGCCTGTGTTGATATTTTGACCTATGCGTGATACCCACAGATGCTTCTTTGTAATTGTTCATTTGTAGTTTTGACCCCTTGATCGCATTTTCTAATAAAATCCAATTGTAAAAAAGATAAAAATAGACCTCATCTTCCCTAACCTTGGGATTGAGCCTGCTGCTCCACACAACAAACTATCCCAAAGTTCTCCACCAGCTTTCATTACTGAAAATATAAAGCACTTTCTTGAAAATTATCTACAAGAAGTTTTGGACATCCTTGCAATTATTTCTACTCGGGAAAATTCAAGTGGAATCTGATTCATCATTTTTTTATCCAAATTGATACAGAGAAAATATCCAAGTTATCTAAATAAAAGAAGACCGAACTGATTACTTGATGCAGAGCAATTATTTCCAAGTATCTGAATATAAGAAGACCGAAACGATTCATCAATTTAACTTAATAAAGGTGCATAAGCATTTTGGCAAGTGGGTGTGTGGGTGTGTGGGTCATTTTTTAAAAAATTCAAAATTAACTCTCAGTGTATCTGAATTGAACACCAGATCGATCCAGTGACTGAGTTGTTCCATTCCTAAATTAAATGGAATAATATCTACAATAACCAGAATTCATTAATTTGAACTTGAATAACTGAAGTTTTTATACAATGTATAATGTTTAAAGCACTTCTTGAGAGCCCACCTTGCTATCAACTTTAAGAACAGGCTTGTTGCCCATATAAAGTGCACCCATCAGCTGGAGTACAGGAATCTCTAGAGGAAAATTGAACGGAGTAATTATTGCCACCTGCACAAACAATCTTGTATAATTTGAAAGCTTGTATAATTTTAAGTAAAAATAATAATCAATGATAAAGTAGAACCTATGAATAGAGGGTGGCAACATCCATTGATATGCAAGCAAATGAAAAAAGAGGAAATTTGATAAAAGATAATTAGACATTTTGGAAGACAAATTTATTTTCTTTTCAAAAAGTCCGTATGATGTTCCCAGCTGTACAACTTAAACTAGTCAGTTCCTACAGCATAGATAAATCCACTCAGTCAAATTGGTCAAGATATTCCTCAGATCCACACCCTAGGTAGTACTTATGTTGGAATTTAACAAGTTTATTTTCACAACATAGTTATTTGTCGGCTTATCAATCTTGAGCCATATATACATCCTTAACCATCTTTTTGATTGTTGAAATTAGTTTAAGTGAAACACGGAACTAGTATATGCCACTATAAAACTTAAAGCCAATCATTTGCATGAATGTGATGTTTCTGCTGAACCTTTCCGATGTTTCCACCACGAAACATGATCACCTGCCTTTCATTTCAGTAAGTTCTGAACACCATGTTTGAGTGTATTACAGCTTAGATTAAATTTGAAGTATCTTAAAAAGAGGTGCCTTACCGGACCATAAGGCCATCGGAAACCATGACTTTGCTGCCCAAGATGATTCCCAGGTACTGCAAAAGACCTTGCCAGGAAGCGAACCTGCCACCAAGCATGAATAAGTGACAAGATGAAAGAGGGGCGAGTGAAAAAAAAAACATGAAATTTTCACTAACAGGATCAAGTTGAATCATTATCACTCAAGTAGAAAACAACATTCAGGAAGAAAAAAAAATGAAAAACAAGAAGAAAAAGGGAAGACAAAAGAGTAGATTGATAACCATATCAGGTACAAATGCAGCAAGTCACTGTAAACAGTATTTGATCAACAGTTCTGTCTATGAGAATATATGCATGCTCTAATACCAATGAATCTACTTAACAAGATTTCTTTTCAATCTAGCGGTGAGCGAAACCGAAAAGCTTCAGTTAAGCTGATCACCATGTACCTGATCGCCTGAAAAGTTTTCTAGAAACTTTTGTGTAACATAAACTTCACCAAGAGCCTGGTCATAACTCTTTGGAGCCACCCTCTGTATTAACCTAGTGAAGAAATCGGAAACCTGAAAGCCACATAAAATTCGAAGTTGCAAAAAACGTGACATGAAGATAGCATTGTTTGTGTTATGTTTATTTAAATAAGAAGTGTGATGAAAGGGACGCGTTCTTTGACTTGGAGCATATTACCTTAGGCAGGGAAAGCATGTGAGCTGCCTTCGCTGATATGTCTCCGAACAAAAGGTACCTGCAGAAGATAGCTCATATGAACACTTATTACAAGTAACTGGACCATCGGAACCAGTTTCTCTTTTTGCATTAACAGCTACTAAATAATCTCAATGTCTATACCAAGACGGAAAACTAACAAGAAGAACAAAACAATTATGAGAAAGAAAGAGATCAATAATCTTATAAACCTCTCTGGTGCTTTGAACGGATTGTGTAGACCATGTTTTGGGCACCTGGACAAGCTCTCAATGAATGGCTGCATAAGCAGTCAGTGGTTAGACAATGCGTATGATACGCATGTTATAAAGTAATTAATGATCTTAATTAAATGCAAGTTATAAAGTAAAAAAAGCAAAGATATATAGACCAAGAGTGTTATGCATGATAAAGACATTTAATAGGATCAGCTAGTTGGAGATCTCTTTGGAAAGAATGTAGATGGCAATCGCATGATACGTTTATGTTACATACTTGTACTCCAGTTTCATCTATTTCGGCAACTTTAATGAACGAGTCCCCATTTAAAGGATCCACAATTGTATTCCAATTTGAAGATCCTGTCCATTTGCCCTGCACTAGAAAGGATGATAACACAGATTGACAACGTAATTTGAATTGAACTTTGTTAAGTTTGGAAGATTAATATAATATTAGAGACAATATTTAGGGAGAAACAGAAAGAGGTTAGAACTTAACCTAACTCTCATACATCACTTGTATTTTTAGTTAACTTACAATAATAAGAATTACACATACACCCTCTTTCTATTAACAATGTACACATACTACCCTACTATTCTTAACACTCCCCCTCAAGGTGGACTATATATATCATATAATTCAAGCTTGGAACAAATAGCTGTAAGACGTGTACAACTCAATACTTTGGTAAACATATCTGCAAGCTGATCTTCAGATTTCACAAATGGAGTTGTAATCTCCCCAGCTACTATCTTATCTCGAACAAAATGACAATCAACCTCAATATGCTTGATTCTCTCGTGAAACACAGGATTGGCAGCGATATGGATAGCTATCTGGTTGTCACAGAACAACTGTAAAGGAAGTGGAACTAGAAACCCAATTTCCTGGAGGAAGTGTAGTAGCCAAGTCAACTCACTCGTCGTATGTGTCATTGCCCTATACTCAGCCTCAGCACTAGATCTTGTTACCACAGGTTGTTTCTTACTTTTTCATGAGACAACATTACCTCCTAAGAAAGTACAATAACCAGTGATTGATCTCTGATCAGAAGGAGAGCCAGCCCAATCAGCATCAGAGAAACCTTCCACTCTAAGATGTCCATTAGCTTGATATAACAGTCCAAGTCCAGGAGCTCGTTTGAGATATTACAGAATACGAGTAATTGCCTCCCAATGTGGTACTCTAGGATATCCCAAAAACTGACTTACTATACTGACTGCATAGGAAATATCCGATCGAGTAACAGTGAGATAATTAAGCTTTCCAACTAATCTGCGATACCGACCCGGATTCTCAAACAATGCACCATCATCCATCAATAATTTCTAATTCGGATCCATAAGAACATCAATCGGTTTACCACCCAACAAACCTACTTCCTCAAGCATGTCAAGTACATATTTCCTCTGGGATAAACAAATACCCTGTTTAGATCGAGCTACCTCAATACCCAAGAAATACCTGAGTTTTCTCAAATTCTTAGTATGAAATCGATTCTGTAAGAATATTTTTAACTTAGCAATCTCCTCAGAATTATTTCCAATAATCACAATATCATCTACATAGACCACCAATAGGACATATCCAATATCTGTCTATCTATGAAACACAGAATGATCTATCTGACATCGAAGAAGACCAAACTTTAAAACTATATCTGAAAACTTACCAAACCATACCCTCGGTGACTGCTTCAAACCATATAAAGATTTCTTTAATCGACATACACTCTTACCATACTCCCCTTGAGCAGTAAACTCAGGTGGCTACTTCATGTATACCTCTTCAACCAAGTCACCATGTAGGAAGACATTCTTGACATCTAACTCAAACAAAGGCCAATTAAGATTAGCAGCTAAAGAAATCAAGATACAAACAGAGAAAATTTTGGCAACAGGAGAGAAAGTTTTCTCATAATCAACACCATAAGTCTGAGTAAAGCCCTTTGCAACAAGTCCGGCTTTGAGACGTTCCACAGAACCATCTGGATGAAATTTAACAATATACACCCAACGACAGCCAAAAGTTCGTTTACCAGGGGGTAAAGGAACAAGATCTCAAGTCTCATTATGATGTAAATCATCCATCTCCTCCTCCATAGCTTTCCTCTAACCCGAATCAGATAATGCATCCTGTAAATGCTTAGGAATAGATATAACAGAGAATTGAAAAGTAAAACAAGAGAAGACAGGAGACAAGGCATCATATAAAACAAAATGAGAAATAGAATGATTAGTAACACACGAACGAGTACCTTTGCGGAGAGCAATAAAGAGTCTAAATTACCTAATGTACCAGGATCAAAAGGCGGCAATGAAGACGGTACAGGCATCTCAGTCGATGGACGAGGACAGCGAAAGTAGACACGGAGAGGTAAAGTAGATGGGAATATAGTGGGCAGCGGAATATCTGAATATAGTGGTAGAGGAGATGATCCAAAATCCAGATCCAAAGGCTAAAAAGGTGCTGGAAAGTATAGAACAAATTCTTCAAATGTGACATCGGCACTGGTAAAATATCGGTGCAGAGAAGGACTGTAGCAACGATACTCCTTCTGCGTGCGGGAGTAACCAAAAATACATATTTGGTAGCTCGAGGGTCAAGTTTGTCAAACCCAAGACCTAAATTGTGAACATAATAGACACATCCAAAAACCTTAGGAGTTAAGGAAAATAAGGGCTTACCAGGAAAAATGACAGAATATGAACTTTGCCCATTTAACACAGAGGATGGCATACGATTAATAAGATGACAAGTAGTAAGAACAATATCACTCCAAAAATAACGGAGAATATTCATCTGGAATAACAGGGCACGAGTGACTTCCAACAAATGACGGTTCTTACGTTCAGCAACACTATTCTGGGAAGAGGTTTAAGCACAAGAAGTCTGATGAATAATGTTAGTTTTACTAAGATAAGCTGAAAAATGATCAGATTCATATTCCCGAGTATTATCGGAACGTAAAGTACGTATACGACAACCATATTGAGTTTTTATTTCCTTACGAAATGTCTCAAATATAGAGAATAATTCAGACCGAGCTTTCATCAAAAACAACCAAGTCACACAAGAATAGTTATCTACAAATGTCACAAAATAAAGATATTTATTAGATGAAATATTCTTTATTGGACCCCATACATTAGAATGTACTAACTCAAATGGACTAGACACACGATTATGGACTCTAGACTGAAATGACACGAGGTGATGCTTACTAAGTTGACAAGTTTCACAACACAAAGATGACACATAACTAAGACTGAGAACTTGACGCTTCAAATTCTGGAGAGAGAAATGTCCAAGACGACGATGTCATTGAAAAGGAGATAACGAGGTTTGTAGAGCCTGAGTAGGTGAATTAAAGTCAAGGTAATATAGACCACTGGCTTCATGCCCTGTACCAATCTTCCTCTTTGTCTTGAGATCTTGAAAGACACAATAAGAGGGATAAAAGGTTACAGAACAATTAAGAGAACGGGTAATCTTGCTAATAGAAAGTAAACTAAAAGGAAATTGAGGAACAAATAACACAGAAGATAGAGACATATCAGGACTCAAGTGAGTAGTTCCCAGACCTGAAACTTTAGAACAAGTACCATTAGCAAGAGTAACACGACGTATGAAAGTAGCAGACTGATAAGTAGAAAAAACATCAGACGCACCAGTCATGTGGTCAGAAGCGCCAGAATCTATGATTCAGAGACTGTGAGTGGAGGACAATAAACAAGTGCAAGTATTACCTAACTGGGCAAAAGTAGCAGTGGAGGAAGATGGGATAGCCTATTGCTGGGACAAGAACTGAGCATACTCCTCTCGTGTAATAGTAACCAAACTAGTGTCATGTTTGGATTCCATAAGTACAGCAAATGGAAAAAGAAAATCACTAGATCACTGAACCGGATAAGAATCACCTACTGCACTGCTGAACTGAACCGAACCAAATCAAAGGAGTCCACTGAACTGCTGAACTGGACCAAAGGAGTCCACTGGACTACTGAATCGGACCAGAGTAATCAACTGGACCGTTGAACCGGAAATAAAACAAACGGAACTAGCTTAAAATTGACTGAACCGGGCCTGAACCGATCTAAAACTGACTGAACCGGGCCTAAAAACCTACTGAAATTGCTTGAAGACCTTCTGAACCGGATGGGAAAATTGGAAAATCTGCTGAACCGGACTAGAGAAGTCCACTTGAAGGCTGAACCAGACCAAATAGACCCATTGGAACACTGAATTGGACCAGAGAAGCTCACTGGACCACTGAACCGGTCTAAAAACGGACTGAACCGAAATGAACCGGACCTGGACCGGTCTGGACTGGTCTGGACCGGTTTGGTCCGGTCTGGTCTGGCCCTGGATCTTGGATCAGGATTTACCCAAACCCATAAACTGATGGACCCGATTGGATTGGGCTTAAAACAATTTAAACCTGTTGATGGAACTGGGTTTGGACCCTTTCTTCTTCCTCGATTAGGGTTCCAATAACCCTAGTCTTCGACTGCGCAACCACCACCACAATGAACAACACAACGACGCTACACCACGATGGCCACCCACGACGACGCTACACCAACCCTAGTCTTCGACTGTGCAATCACCACCACAATGAACAACAGCCACCACGATGGCCACACACGACGACGTCGAACGATGATCAATAAGCGACAACAACTAGCGACAACACCACAACAACTATACCACCACCACTGTAACTCAAGCCAAAACAACTATACCACCACCACTGTTGCTTCGACGAACAATCAGTAACACCAGTACCACCACCATTGTAGCGTCGACGAATAACAGTAACACCACCACAAATAGACCACAAATATATTTAGGATTATAACTTTGCTCTGATACCATGTTAAGTTTAGAAGATTAATATAATATTAGAGACAATATTTAGGGAGAAACAGAGAGAGGTTAGAACTTAACCTAGCTCTCATACATTACTTGTATTTATAGTTAACCTACAATAATAAGAATTACACATACACTCTCTTTCTATTAACAATTTACACATACTACCCTACTATTCTTAATACTTAAACCCACACGCTAGGCCAAACACCAAGAACACAGGTAGATGATTTGCATTGCTTTCAACTACAGCCTCATTTAAAACATTGACCACATATGTTTAATATTGTGAGCAAAAATTAAGGCATATAATTTACTTACTTTGCAATTACCAATCAAACTATTAAAGGCCTAAGCATAGTGCCTTGCGATTTTCCTTTATTCAAAATAGCTAAATCATTGAAAAATAACAGACGCCATATATGGGGACTTGTTCTTGCACTATAGGCTGGAATCATTTTCTGCAAATGAAATAAGCAAGTTGTTCAAGTGGCAATAC